GCTTCTTCCTCCATTCCAAGCACCTTATGAATGTGACTATCTAGCTCATTTTCTATCTGAGAAGCTGGCAGGCAAGTTCATATGTTCCATTTCTTGTTGTGGTTTACAGCACTAGTAAGATTGTCAGCTATTACCTAGGTTATTAGGTAAGGCTCACTGTTACATAAATTTTCACTATGATCCCTAAGTATGAATTTTAGGGACCACAGCTAGCTTCTTTAAGCATAACAGCATTTTTAAAGTTGTATTATTTACTTTTGTGGGTAGCTCAGTTATCTTATGCTGTAGTTTCTCAGAGGAATACAATCTTACCTCAGTGATTTACTGCAATTGGCTTTCTAGGTTTGCACTGGTTCTCTCTGACAGTGCCATGATTTCTCCAGATATGAGGAGTAACCTCTGGATACACATTTCCTCTTCAGTGGCATCCAATCATAAGAAAACATTTGGCTTGTAAACTTTAACTATCGTATTTATTCTTATGTGCTCTAGAGAACAGTGCAGCTCCCTCCAGCCTCACATTTCAAAACATTGTACCTCTCTTCCTGTAAAAATTCTCAGTTCTACAAAAACACCCTATAATACGTTCAATTCCTGTCCAGCAGTAACTAGGACATACAGAGTAGAAAGAACCTGGTAGGAAGTGAAAAATTCTTCTCTAAATTGGAGAATCCTGTCAGATTAGCAGTTATTACTAACAATAGAAGGGATGATAACAGTACTGGAGAGGATTAAACTCAATCAGTTGAAAAATACTTGTTCCTGTCTGAACTAACTGCAAAGACATGGTCTGTGTCTTTGTAGTCTAACAATGGCTTATTAAAAAATAAACAATGGCTAAATTAAATTCTCGTTACATTCTATTTTACAAAACTATGCAAAGAGGCCCAGCATAACAGCAGAGCTAGACTGCAGCTGCAGAGAGCACTTCTTGTATGTCCATATAACTCCAGCTTCACTGACCATTACCAACCTTTTCTGAAGCAGGAGGCAGAAAGAGTCAGCAATCAGTCTTGTAATTGAAGTCTAGTAAATTTCTTTAAAAGTGAGTAAAAATTGGTTTTATTAATCATATCTTCCCAAATATATATATTTATCTTCACCTTCTTCACTTTTTATGACCATTTCTCTATGCAAGCAAGATGAGGAAACTCATTAAACCAACTAGCAGGAATGGTGACATTGGTTAGGCACAAAGTCCTCTTAGTCATTCCAAAGACATTGTTTGCTGTTACTACAAGTTAAGTAAAATGGTTTCAGATAGCAGTAGGATTTTCGGGTTGACTTCGACCTTTTTCAGTTATGCAAACGGATTGTTTATAGTCCATCCAGTTATTGACAAACAGACTATTTTGTCAACACCAGTGAAAGAGAAGACATTTAGTAGAACATGATGGTATGTAGATAGCTGAGGTCTGGGGATGTCATGCAGGATTTAGCTTTCTCCTGACTCAATATTTGGAAAGGGATGTTAACTAAGGAGCTTCCTTCCCTTTGATTTTATTTCTTTGCTATCAGTCCTAAGCAAGCTGGACCCAAGCCTGTAGGTCATTTTCAAACAGTATTTGAACAGTGGCTCTTATGTGAAGTTTCATGTGTTACTTGATCTATAAAAAGATTATATTTTACCCTTTAAATACAGATGCCTGAAAAATCAGGGGTCATGATCAAGCAGGTGCTTTTTTTTTTTTTTTTTTCTAGCTTTCATTGCTTTGAGTGAGCAAAGACATAAGAAAATTGTCTTTACATGGGTATTAGAAAGCAATGGAAATGGTAATTTCTCAATAGATAATCCTCCAGCAATGAAAAAGTACAAACATACATGTTTAGGTGATGAGTGGCTCTGGAAACTCTGTCTGCTTTGGCTTCTACTGAGCTGTAAAGTGTTAAATATCTATTTTTGTAATCTCTCTACTCTTTCTAGGAATGTGTTTAGAGTAAATGGAGAAAAATAGAGCAATAAAAAATACCTTTCAATTTGTTTACAGAATAGATCTTGAGAGATACTTTTAACCTTTGTGATGACCCAAAACAGAGAGAAGGCCTGAATCACCTTTGTAACTTCTTGCCATGGATCTCACACAAACAAAAATGTATTATTTCTAGTCTGGACTATTAAAATTACAAGGCAAAGTACTTGTGAAGATGAAGATGGGGGAGAAGAACATTAATCAGATTTTGTTTGACAAAGTCTTTGAATAAAAGGTCTTGTGTCAACAAATCTGAACTACATTTACAGCTCTGTTAGAGATTATACCAGTTCAACGGCCAAAGGTATCAATCTTAACCACAACCAAGTTACTTATTAATCAAAATGCAAACCTGTACATGATAATACCTTATTACTTTCTCAATAACATGTCTGCTGCCAGCAACCTAATAACCTCTTTCTGACATAACAGTGACTGAAACCTTTAACTAACCTGAAATTCCCTTATTTTCCCCAACTTATAAAGATAAATAGGATTAACAAAAGTAGCTATGGTTACAATCACAAATGCAGTCATATGAGGATATCTGGTAATGACCCAAGTCAGTGCTGAAGTCAACTCACTCACATATTTTTAGCTAGTCTCTCTGCTGCAATAATGTAAGCACTAAGACTTCCTGATAGCTCTTAACAAAATGTCATCAAACCACTACCACTAAAGATATTGCAAATATACAAGAGTTATTCACAGAGGTAAATGCGACCAGCCAGGGACAGTGTCTCCCCAGACAGCCTGTATATGAGGATACCTTTTTTTCAGGTACAGAAATTAAAATATTCTGAAAGTTGTACATGACCAGCAGTACAGATCACTTGTTGTCCTAGCAGGTTTTCCTTGATAGGCTGACAACGGTGAGGAAGCCATGAAGCAATATTGGTAGGCAACACAACTGATTAATTAAAAACTGCTACCTTCCTGAACAAAATTACAGGCAACTGCGATAAGCACCTATTACTAATTTGAAATGAAACAAACCAACCAACCAAACAAGCTAATTCAATTCCATTAAAAACCTATGTTGACACTAAAAAACTTGCAAATCCAGGAACATGAAGGAGAAATTACATAAACTACTATAAAACATACTGGTGGGCTTTTGCTCACTACTGTTATTTTCTTGAAATTTGTTTCTTTCTATTCAAACACAGAGTTGAAAGTTTGTAACAATAACAGCAGGCTACCTAAGGTTAAATCACTGCTTTTTTGCTATTTTCTAGTTTTAATTGAAAAAGCTAAAAAAAAAATAAAAAAAAAATAAAAAAAAAAAAAAAGAGAAAATTGAGAGGACACTGTTACAATCTGCTGCCATTTATTGAAATCTGTCTGTCACCTTATGCACATATTTATAGGATAGGTAGACTGAATAAACACATGTGTTAGAAAAGATAACAAGTACACACATTAAAATCAACTGGAAAAAAGTCCTGCCATGATCCAATTACACAAAATTATACAGCTTTCACAAAGAACTTCTGAGAAGTATTATATTTTGAATAAAAGCTGTTTTCAAGGTGGACAATGAACTGCTTAAAAAACCCTCTGCTGTATCAACACAATGCAGCAATTAAAAAAATGAATTTCTACTGTAGGATAGAAATGTAGGATAGATACTGCCTCAAACACTGAAATCTCCAATAGTTCAGAAAAAGTATGATGGAAGCACTTTTCCATGGGAAAAGATGAGTCAATAGTACAGTTCTTTAATAAAAATGGGAGGAGTTTTGGAATTGAAGTTATTACTTTGCCTCTTATTAAAATACTGGAGTTCTGGAAACTGAAAAGCAAAGCCACTATACTTGTTGGCTGGTGACATGCTCATGTGTGAAATATACTTGAAGATGAGGATTTCTGGCTATCTGCATTTATTAAGAGCAACTGTTTAGAGTTAGCTGCAAATTGCTGTTACCCTTCTTTCCCTATTATTTTATTTATTTATTTATATTTTTAAAAAAATTTTTTTGCATGCAACAATGAACTACAAGTCAGAATGAAATGAATATAAAAATGATTTAAAATATTTGTTATGCTGTGTTAGGACAAACTTATTTATTCACATAAAATAATAAACTAATGCTTTGGAATTAACAAAAAGTCTGAAAAGACAATGTCTACTTACAGGAAAATTATCCTTAATATTGTTGCCAGAAAGGCATAATTTCCTCCCTGTCTGAAGCAATTAAATCTATCAAGTCATAAACCTTCTGAGTGTCCTGCTGCCGGTGTTGACGTAGTGAAAAAACAAGATGCAAGGACTTAGAACTACAACAACAAAACAGCAGGGAAAGGGTTCAAGTCCACAACAATGTAAATGGGAAGGTGTCAGCTAGAGGCAATTGCATAACTTGTTACCCCCCGACTTTCTTGAACTAAGTATAGGATTTTTTATTTGTTCATTCCTAGGCAAAATGAAGACATTTTAAAAAACATAATGACTAAAGAAGTTTCACTGCAGGCTTTAACTGTGACTACCAGGCAAAAAGTTAAATAAGAGTTTGCTCAGAAAACACACAACTCATGTCAGATGCAAAACAGCACAAACAATCCATTTATTTTAACAATGCAATTGTTCATTACTAAAAAGAGTGTAATTATAACATTGAGCAGAGTTCTGGGCTCTTTTCTCCTGTTTCAGGACACAAGACATTTGTATCACATTAATGTTTGAGACAGTGAATTAGGCACATTGAAAACAAGTGGTTTCACCGCTCTTACAGATTGTGGCTAAGTTCCTTCCCTTCTCACTGCTGAAAGTTTATCCTCTAATAAGTAATTCCCAAGACATCTTGCAATAGGAAGCATTCATGAATGAATGCATTAATAAAAGTTTCCTATTGCATGGCCCACTGGGAATTCTTGTAATACTTGCAAGGAGTTTACAGACCTTCATTAGTTACATACAAAAAGGAAGTTTGCTTCTTCTGAACACAGTATTTTTCCCTGTTTCAAAATATCACAGCAGACAACTAAATGCTGGCATGAAACAAAGCCAATGACTCTTTATGTACTTACCATGTACCACATGCTTGGCCACTTGGGATCATTGAAATAAGTGGATTGGGTACCTCCAGGTTTATAATCCCTCTTTATCCTTCTTTTAACCACCTGCTGTTGTATCCACTCCACCTGCCAACCAGGAAAACATTTGGTAAGTGTTAGGGTTCCATGGAGATTATCAAGAAATGTGTGAAATCTTGGGAAGTTTCCCATTACCATCGTCCAAGACATATTTCATGTTAAAGAGTTCATTTTGGCAGTGGGAATGCACAGCTCACCTTGGCATATGGTTCACTAGGGAATATGTCCAATTTAGTTAGTGCTACAAATCTCCTTGAAAAACTACTTAAATCCCCTGCTAGAAAGATTTCATTGGCGATCATCTTTTGCATGCTATTATTATATTATTTTTCATTATTAGAATAGAACCTTTTTCAAATTTATAAAACCAATTACTTTTACAAAGCATAACAGTACATTGCAATGAGAAATTAGCTGAGTTTCTCATAGTTTTCTTTTTTCATGTAAGCCCTGAAAATAAAAACTTCCAGTAAAATATTCACATGTTGTGCTTAACCAATATCTAGATCATCTTCACCACTTGGAGTGAATTAAACTGTATTTTTAGTAGAGCGACTCTTTGTCAGGATTCTCTCAACCAGGTGCTCTGGAACTTTATTTGAGCTACTAGTACAGGGAGAAAGAGACGGGTATTGAGCACAAGGGCAAATTAAATGACATCAACAAAAAGTGCTTGAAACGAGAAAGCAAAAATAAGGGTTAAAAACCTAGTTCTGAAAATCATATTCTTGTCTATCTGATTGTTCTTCATAGATTCATCACACACTCAGAAAGGGCGACACTGAAAGTGATATCAACCTTAGAGTAGATCGGACTCTGCAGTCATTTCTGCATTAGCTAGTCTAAATGGGAGTTAGTTTCTATAAATGTAAATAGTATAACTATTCACAGAGAAACCTAGGTTATATTTACACTCATCTAGCTTCCTGACAGCTCATATTTCTGCTGAATTGTTTCATGGGATATAACTATAAAAATTCAATTCAGCTCTCCCCAAGCAAGACAGCCATTTCCTCCTAGCACCCAACTCTGCACCTTTAACTTCTGCTGTTTATGAATACCTGTGTATGCACACACACATACATATAAAAGAAATTTACTCTCAGCTTACATATTTCTCTTTGTCACTTGTCAGAGATGGTATTAACATTTTCTGTATGCAAGCTAATCCCCACCATGCATTCATAATTCAGCTTCAAATCATGGGGTCCTTAAAGAGACATAGGTCCACTATGAAAATAGTGGACACAGGTCCAGAAATTTTGCTTGAGATCCATACCACCTTCACCTCTATCACCCCTAACATATGGTTTTGATTGTTTTCTTTAGAAAGAGGAATTTATTTTTTTATCCTCTCAAGAATTAACTTTAGGGTTAAGACTGTTCTTCTAGAGAAGTTGTGCAGTTTAAGAATACAGGACTATCACAAAACATTCACACAGAAATCCATTTCTCTAGTCTTCTCGTAACAATCATAAATCCTTTTCTGCTTCAAAGAAAGATTCTGCTCCTCTTCCCGCTCAAGTTGAAATCCATCTTGGTGGACACCCTCTCAAGAATCTGAGAGCTGACCATCCCCATCAGATCTTACAACACCTCTTAGAGGTTATTCAACATTCTGTTGTTCAACAGAAGTGGGCAGCTAATCAGTCTTAGGAATTTGATGACTGGAGGCCTGTGAGATGTAGAGTGTAACTGGCCAGAGGACAAAAGAGGAAGAACCGAAAGACTTTGGTAATCACTAAGTCTTAAGACTGATGAGACAGCTTTAAAATGGATTCACTATTCCTTTTAAGTGAATCTCTCCTACATGAAAAAAAATCTTATAACTGACCTTTAATGAACCTTACTTCCTTGTCACCTGCTGCTAATGTACACTGGACCCTTGCAAAAGAAACTTATTTTTCTTCAGTTTACTTCCTGCAGGTAGTCCATCCCTCCCAACGCATCCAAAGCCAGCTGAGACCATCTTAAGTACCACTTGATTTCTAACTCAATATCTGCCTGGATTGCCTTAGACCATGGGCCTCTCTTCTTCTATTACTAATACTTAACAGTCAATAACTAAAAAGCTTCAACAAGTCTGAATAAGCAAACAGATCTGAAAAAAAATGTTTTTCAGAGCTTACACAGATCCACCTTCCAAGCCTTATCATGAGATTTGACTGTCAGTGCTAGAAACATTTTCAGCTGAAGGAGAGGTCCCAAGATTTCTATGCTGAATGAGTATTTATTGTCACCTTGACTCATCCTTTAGCTGAAGGAATGAGTCACATGAGCATGTTACCCCATCTTTAAAAATTACAGACAAAACTGTTTAAGTCAAAAGATTTCAAAGTGACACAAGCTACAAGCATACAGAGCACACCATGACATGTATGTTAACTCATTATGAAAACTCATCCATATCTGAGTCTGAAGAGAGGAATTACAAAGGCCAACCACCAACACAATCTGAGGATCTGATACAGTTGTGAAAAGGTCCACAAATTAAAAACAATGAGATAGCAGAAGAGAATTAAACTTTCTACCACTGCAGACTGATTCAGGTGCACAAGCATCAATGGAAGAAGGTAGTCACCAACACTGCTATTGCCTGTGAGTCAGAGACACAAGGCATTTACTTTGGCATTAGGGACTCCTCTGCATCTAAGCTCCTCTGAGAAGTACTCACAGCAACTGTGAGAACTATGAAAAAAACCTTCCTTTTGTAAATGGGGCCAGAGGAGTGTGAAATATTCCAGGAGGCAGCATTACCCACACAAGTTAATACCATTTCTATATGGCGGAACAAGAGGGGTTTTCCTGACAAGACAAATCACAAAATTCTTTACAATTCACTGTGAAAATATGTTTTGTCAATTTATTTACTCCATATTCAGCTGCAAATATCTGCTGATCATTGAAAAGACTGAATGTAAAGGCATCATAGTGCATATGGAGACTGATACAACCTTATATTGATGCCTCAACACAAACAAACAAAAAAAATCAATTCCTTTCCTCTTTTTTCCCTTTATCCAAAATTACATTAATGACAATTATCAGACAGTTCTTTAGTTCAAGAAATCACAAACATTGCCTCACTGTGCAATTCCAGTTTATTGGAACAATCACTTGACACATAAGGAACTCTGTATATGCATATATGTTTGTATTTGTGTACACGCTGTATTTGTACAATAGCTTGTATCAACCAAGTTAATGTGCAAGCCAGTAGTATAGCTAATGGTTAGCTTTTGAGTGATGGACTGATATTTTTTATTTACCACCTTTTACCCAAAATTGGACTGTTCTTCAGAATATGTATTTGTTGCAGGCCCTGCCCCTAATACATTCTGGATGTTTTCCATAATTCCTATTTCCTCAGCTCCTAGAAACGTTAGGGAAAACGTATGAGAGAGTGAGTAATTTTGCAGAAGAGCTGTGCAGCATGCATGTTCAGACCCAAAGCCAGAAAAAGAAATGTAACTGCTTGTCTTCACGTAAGACCTAACAACAATTTAATGTATGCATAAAATTACTATAAATAAAATAGTCATTTGATTTTGTTCAAATAGAGGGAAAAGCAAATAGCATGTCTGCATGGGAATGTGTGGGGAAGATAACACAGGTAGCTCTGTAATGATGGATATGATGTAAGGAGGGCTCATCTTGGGCATCTCTGGATATCCATGTAAGTGGAAGAGGGAAGTCAAAATGACCATTCACAGACAGCAACTGTGGACTGTCTTGAGGGAGACAGAATGCTTGACAGAGTGACCCAAAACAACATAGTATCTTTGATCACATTCCTGAGTATAGCCTTGTCAGTAATATTTTTAGCAAACACTTTCTGTTGGAAGCTGCTTAGTAATTGTTTTATAATGAGTATACACTGATACACTCACCTACAGTATAATTTAAAACATCCCAGGAAACCCATATTCTCATTTGAGAAGCCAATGAATAAAGTGTACTTTACAGAAAATACCACTGCTAGAGAAATATAACACTTTTCTCCACTGAATCCTAAAGTTTGTTTATTTTCTCTAAAAAAGCGAAGAGAAAAACTTGCCAATAGTCTTCAGTCTAAGCTAAATTATACAATGACTGGATTATATTAATGATGACCAGGTCAAAACTCAGCAGTTATTTTAGTATCTCCTTTGAGTATTTTATGGGTATTCATGCATATATCACTGTGAATGTCTGGTATACACTGTATTTCTTTGATTCTGTATGAAAAGAGCTCATTTGTATAAAAATATTTTCTTTAAAAAAGCATCCACACTTTTTAACCTATAGGCCTTCAAGGAAAATCTCTGGAGTAATTGATTATACAGATTCCCACCTCTTGCCAAAAAGAGACTCTATGCGAACAATGAGGTGCATTTTAACATTTCCATAAAGTCACACTTACTGAGGGGGAACAGTGCACATTTTCCCATTGACTTCAGCTTCAAAAGTTCCATTTCCTGAATGTCTAGAAATCAAAGCCAAGCCAGATTGGAGACCAAACTATTTAAAAAAACAATCATCATTTCCAGTCTCCTCACTTCAGCACTCACAAGCTTGTTCTGTACACGATGCAGTTACTCTTCACAGACCTGCACAAAACAATGCTATAGAATAAAAGCTGCTCTGAGCTCGTTCTAGCACGCCACTCTTTTATCCTCTTTAAATGCTAAAGAATATACTGAAATATTATCTCTATGTGAAACAAAACAATTTTCAATTTCATTTATTGAAAGTATTACTTTTTCATTCATTGAAAAAGTAGCCCCATATAAGAACGCTACTAAGATCTCCACTGTAATAAGTTATGACAAAAAGTTTGAAAAGCAAAGGGAAAAATATCACATGCTGAAAAAAATTAATAAATCCGCCCATTTATCAAAGCACTATGATTTTTAAAGTAAAAACACCAGACAATCTTGTGAAACAGCATTTACTTTGTTTTTCATGTACGTGATGAGGGTGTCTACTTGAACAAATATTTTCAAATTGATTAAAAATACATGAAGTCCAACATGTGAAAATGTTATTATCAAAAAGCAGAAGTTACA